GCAGCCTCCCTGAGCTAGCTCTGAAAACAGCAGCACCAAAAAGTCTGAAGCTTGGGAAAATGCCTCCTCACCCCCAGGTGAGCAGAGCCCAACTTTAGCATAAAGTTCCAAGTGAAAAAATAAGCAAGAAAAATGAGCAAACAACAACAAAATCTTGACCATTAAAAGTTACTACATGGTAGGAAACACCAAGACACAAACTCAGAAGACAACAATGTGAAAATAACTACAACCAAAGCCTCAAAGAAAAATGCTAATTGGAAACAAGCCCAACAAAAGTTCTTGGAAGAGTTAGAGAAAGAAATGAGTGGTAGAGGAAAAATTGGGAAAGGAAATGAGAGTGATGCATTTTGCTAAAAGGTACAATAGACAATGAAGTAATATAGAAAAATTTTACAGCAAGTTTCTCTGATAAAAGCTTCATTTCTCAAATATATACGAGTCAAATTTATAAAAAATAAGAGCCATTCCCTAATTGATAAATGGTCAAAAGATGTGAACAGATAATTTTCCAAAGAAGAAATCAATGTTATCAATAGTAAGATGAAAAAATGCTGTAAATCACTAGTGATTAGAGAAATGAAAATTAAAACAACTCTGAGGTATCACCTGAGAAATAGGGACACTAATGCACCGTGATGGAGTGGTGACCTGGTCCAACCATTCTGGAGAACAAATTGGAACTATGCCCAGAAGGTTATAAAACTGTGCATAATCTTTGACCCAGCAATAATGCTACTAGGTCTGTGTCCCCAAAGAGATCAAAGAAAAAGGAAGAAGACCTATATGTACAAAAATATTCATACCAGCTCTTTGTTGTGGCAAAGAATTAGAAATCAAGGCGATGCTCATCAGTTGGGGAGTGACTAAACAAGTTGTGGCATATGATCATGATGGAGTACTAGTGTGCTATAAGAAATGATGAGGGGCTAATTTCAGAAAAACATGGCAAGATCTATATGAACTGATGCAAAGCAAAGTGAGAAGAACCAGGACATTATTGTGCATAGTAACCGTAATGTAATGATGATCAACTGTGAAAGACTTGGTTACTCTGATCAATACATTCAATCATCCAAGCCAATTCTGAAGAATTCATGATGAAAAAATGCTCTGCTGATGAGCTCTGAATGCAAATGGCAGTCTAGTTTTCTCACTTTTTTTTTTGCTTTTTTTCTTACAATATGGAAATACTTTTTGCATAATTCCAAATGTATAATTGATATCATATTGCTTGCTTTCTCAGTGGGTGGGAAAGAGAGAATTTGGAACATAATTTTTTTAAATGTTAAAAATAAAATAAAAATTTTTTAAAATGTGAAAAATAAATAATGCTTTTTTTAAGAAAGAAAAAAAGCATCTGGTAAATTTACTTATTCTGAGGTGTCAGAGATGACATCAGGGCATCTTGAGGGAAAGAAAGGAAGGAGTCTGTACCAGGCACATCAAACCACCTCCCCCTAAGACCCAAAGGGATATAACTTGGGCCCTGGAACCCAAGAATTTTGGGAATAACAGAGCCCTGTAGAATACCAGTCCTGCTTCCAGCCCAGCCTACACTACAGCCTTCACTGAGGGGAGCAATCATTCAGGAAAAGCCCCACCCTCTACCTTACCTTACCACCACTAACACCTGGCTACCAGTGGGCAATGGGTACATTCAAGAGCCCCTGGGCGGGGCAGTGCCAAATCACTGGTCCTGCTTCTAGCCCAAGCTGATAGAGGAAGCAGCCCCTTTCTCCCCTTCCAGATTACCAGCCACTGCTCGAGCAGCAGTTATGGCCACAGCTCTGAAGACCCAGAAAGAAACCTCTCACCACTGAAGTGCTCTGTCAAATGGGTCAACATCAGAAACGGATAGGATTTTATCAGTGGAAATGTCATTAATTAAGTGTCATTCCCATCTGCTTTGCCCCTACATCCTAAGAACCAAGGGACCTTTCCATCAGACTTGCCCAGAAACCTCAGTTAGAATGTAAGCTCCCTGAGGGCAGGGACTGTTTGACTTTTCTATCATTATTGAGATTATTCTATTATTAAGATATTCCTCTTTATTTCCAGAGATCTCCACCATTGAATTGTAAAGTAATTTCTTAGTTATAAACTTATTAATCATTCACTAATAAAGAAACAAATTATCAAACAGAATTTAAAATAAAATTCTGTGTAGGGAGAGAAAGGTTTTGCACTGTGAGAACAGAGCACCAAAGTCAAGGTCAAAGTCAAAGGAAACCAAAAGACAGAGTAAGATATAATTATTAACACAATGTACATAGTGAGATTTGTGTAGCTGGGGTCCTATTTCTCACACCAGAGCTACTGCCCCAGATTTGAGGCTCTCTATGGGTCAGGCCCCACTTGAAGCCATAAACTCACAAGCCCCCATCGCTGTATGTACTTATTACCTACTATCTGGAGGACAGAGGTAGCTACATGGCTCAATGGATAGAACACGGGGCCTGGAGTCAGGAAGACTAGAGTTCAAATCTAGCCTCAGACCCTGGGCAAGTCACTTAGGCAAGGTGGACCAGAGAATAAAAGCCTTGGTTCTTACTCAATTTCCTTTACAAGTGAACCTGAAAGATCTTTGGAGCAAAGTGGATTTCATAGCCTCACCCTCTACTGAGTTTTTGGGAGGAAAAGAGACCCTAATCTGGTTTGGGGGGACATAGGATCACCATAAGGGGTTAAATGAGAGTTACAATAAGTTTCTTTTTTTTAAAATAGATTTGCATGGATTTTTCATTGTTGTTTTTATATTACCTAGATTTGTCCCTGTATCCCTCCCCTTCTCCCCTTCTCCCCTTCCAGAGAGCCATCCATTATAGGAAAAAACTGAAAAAAAAAAAAGAGGAGGAAGAAGAGGAAAAAAATCCGGCAAAACCAATTGATATATTTAAAATTCTGACATTATGTGCAATGTTACTGTTACTGTCTACCCCCTCACCATCTCTGCAAAATTATATCTTTTCAAACATCTTCTAATCTTGTTCTTTATGATTTTTTCATTTTTTTGATTTCTTAAGTTCGTGTGGGGGGGGGGGGAAGCGGTTCTTTCCATTTCCATTGTGGTAACCATTATGCATATTGTTTTCCTGGCTCTGCTTAACTTTGCATCAGTTCATGTTAAGTCTTCCCAGGTTTCTCTGTATTTATTATCACATTTGTCATTTCTTAAGCACAGTAAGATTTCCATAATAATCACATACCACAACTTGTTTAGCCATTCCCTAGTCAATGGGCATTGCTACACACATACATACACACACACACACACAAATAGTGTTGCTATAAATATTTTGCTGTATATGAGGACTTTCTTTTGGACAGTGACTTCCTCAGGGGGTGATGGTAGATATAGCTGTAAGTGAAATCTCTGAGTCAAAGGTTAAGGACATTTTAGTCCTTTTATTTGCATAATTCCAAATACAAGGAATTTTTAACCCTAAATCAGATAGTTGCCCAGGACCACTGATTTTGAATCCATACCTGACACAGGGAATCAAAGCAACAGATTTTATCAACACCTAGGGAGCTCTGGCTGGCTTTTTTTTTTTTTGGCTGTCCTATTCTAGGTGTTGTGACTTAAAGCCTTGGCTATGGATTAAAAAGCAATCAGCTTGTCCGGGTCAAGTAAAGACTTTCAGTTTACTGTGTATTAGTACCTGGGCACCAAGAACCTGAGCTAGCTCAGAAGAACTCAAGCCCAGAAGATGGTAGCAAAGAGAACTTGAGCATCCATGTGTTAAGCAGAGACAATCAGAAGAAAGAAAGAAGAAACACAACACTCGGTAGAGAACAGACACCTGACACCCAGCATAGACATGGAACCTTCCACGAAGAAGACATACCCATCAATGTGACCCACAGAGAATAAGATGAGCTGCTCACCGGGGAGCCACAAGGTGCCATCAGCAGCCCTGCTGTGTTAGAAGTCTGTGTCGTCTTGGCCAGACATGGACTCTTGTGTGCCCCTTCACACGTGTCCTTCACTTGAGTGCCTTCCTCCACCAGTGGTGCGGCAAACTGTAGGACAGATAGAATGCTACATCTGATTTTTTGTTGTCACTTTCATCAACATGTATTTGATTATCTTCTAAATTATTATTTATTTATTTGTATATATTTGTTTTGTTTTGAACTAATATGTTCTCCAAATTGTTATTTAGTCATGTATGACTCCTCATGACCCCATATGGGGTTTTCTTGGCAATGATACTGGAGTAGTTTGCCATTTCCTTCTCCAGCAGATTAAGGCAAACAGAGGTTAAGTGATTTGCCTACGGTCACGCAGCTATTATCTGAGGCCAAATTTGAACTCAGGTCCAGTACTCTATCCACTGAGCCACTTAGCTTCCTCCAAAGCAAACAGAGGTTAAGTGGCTTGCCCAGGGTCACACACCTAGTGAGAGTCTGAGGCTGGATTTGAACTCTGGTGTTCCTGATTCCAGGCCCAGCATTCTATCCATTGAGCCATGTAGCTATCTCTGTCCTCCAGAGAGTAGGTAATAATACATACAGTGGTGGGGGCTTGTGAGTTTATGGCTTCAAGTGGAGACCGACCCATAGAAAGCCTCAAATCTGGGGCAGCAGCTCTGGGGGCCCACGTGTGAGAGATAGCTACACAAATCTCACACTATTTACATTGTGTTAATAATTATAGCATCTTACTCTGTCTTCTGGTTTCCTGCCTTTAAAAAAGGATAGTAGGGAAAGGGCAATTCTTTTGCCAATGGAATAAGTTATAAATAGTGAATATCGGGCATGGTGTTTTTAGGGGAAAGGTAGAAAGAGTTACCCAAATACAATCTGGAGCTGGAAGGGCCCTTGGAAATCATTTTAGTCCAAACTTTCATTTTATGGATGAGGGAAACTGAGACTTGGTTTCCAATAATAATCAGGCTCTGAACCCAGGCTCTCTAGCGGTCCTTCTACACTACATCCCACACTTCATGTGAAGTCAGCCCTGCTGCACGTACCCAATGTGTGCCCAGGTTCAGGGCCGGACTCTGAGGCTTCCAGAATTGTAAGAGGAGCCAAGTATGTATCCATTGCCAGGCAAAACAACAGTCATGCTGTGACTTTTTCTCCCAATTCAACCAGCTGTTTATTCCCCTCTGCTAGCCTCTGCTGCAGGGGCTCTCTCCACTCTGGGGCTGCTGTTCCCCCCAGTACAGATGCTGTTTGGCCCTATACATGTAGACTTCACGCTCTTTCCAGCAAAGCCTGTGTAGGAGACTTGAGAAAGGAAGAGAGAGATAAGATCGGAGCTCATTTTACTGACCAATTCCTATTTTCTCCTGAAGGCGCTTGTGACACATTTCCTTGCTGTTCACAAAGAGAGATCTTTATAATCACTGGGCAAATGGTTTTAAGGTTGCCCCAGAAATGTGCAAAGTCTCTCTCTGAGAGTGCCAACTGACCCTGCTGGGTGTGGCTGTACAAACATCGTAACTCCCTGTGGACTAGGAAAAAAAAAAAGACTGATATTCTGACTCAGTTCTTCATCACTTTTTCCGAGGCAGCCCAGGGTGTTGGTCTGGGTCTCAGACACATACTGTTCCGCTGACCGGTGAGCAGCCCTTGAAGAGGTAAGAACACCTGTCTTATATCAGGGGTCCTTGTATACTGTTGACTGGGGGCCATGGACCCCCCTCCCAGGACTTAGCAGTGGTCTGTGGAGAGAGAATGAGTACAGTCACCTACCTACACAGGGAGGTGGGTGGCTGGTAAAGGGGAGGGGCTGCTGTAGGAGAGCCTTTTAAAGTCAAGAAAAGTATTCAGCCGCAGGAGTCTCCAAGGGAGCTGGCTAGTACCCAAGGCTACTCCCCTAGTTAGCAGGAAACAAGTTTATAGGTTTGGGGGCTTGGTTAACGTGGTATAGGAGCCCGTCTATGATTGGCAGATACTCTCTCCATTTCTGTCCTATCCCCTGGCTAATGATACCTTCCTCCCCTCGGGAGAACTTTTACAGCTGTATCTCACTTGTTGGAACAGACAAGTTCTTTTAAAGATTGTCTTTACTGAAAATGTTGATAAATTGGAAAGTTGAAGGAGCATTCCCCCAGGAAATATTTTTGGTTCCCAAAGATGTAATTAACATCACACTTTAGCAAACCCTTTAGAATCTCATAGGTAGAGGTGAGAAAAGACCATTTTCTTATTAAATACTAATAATAGGGCTCAAAATAAGTCACAATACCCCAGTGAATCTTAAGATATCAAAGTTTGAGTCACAGGGGAAGGTAAGTCCTATGTGTTACATGGCCTTAGGGTTCAGTTCCCACTATCTACATCCTTATCTACTTACTTGGAGAATAACAATAATATTATCGATAATAGCTAACTTTTATATAGCTCCTTTAAGGTCTGCAAAACACTTTACAAATATTATGTCATTTGGTTCTCACAACAACCAAGGAAGGTAGGGGCTATAGTTGTTGTTCAATTGTGTCCAACCCTCAGTGACCCCATTTGGCATTTTCCTGGCAAAAACACTAGAGTGGTTTGCCATTGCCTTCTCCAGCTCATTTTTACAAATGAGGAAACTGAGGGAAACAGGGTGAAGTGACTTGTCCAGGGTCACACTGCTAGTAAGTCTCTGAGGTAAAATTTGAACTCAGGTCTTCTGGACTCCTGGCCCAGAGCTCTGTGCACCATGGCACCCCCTAGCGGCCTCTGTGGGTGCTATGCCGAGCTGTAGGTAGAACTACGCTACAACTTTTCTTTTAACCTAAAAAAGGAGTCCTCTGTTTAAAAAGCAACCAATGAAGGAGAAACTATCTTCCAGGATACAAGGACTTGTCTGTCATAATAACAATGGTGAAAACATATAAATAGACCAAAGACTGAGATTTTTATCTGAGAGTTCTGGGTGTGAAAAGTCCTTTCGCTAGTACTGATTACAACTTGGGAGATACCTGAGACACAGAATTAAATATCTCTGGAAGATCAAGGTTCCAATCCCACTTCAGGCACTTACTAGCTATTTAATCCTGGACAAGTCAGTTTAATCTCTGTGGGCCTCAGTTTCCTCATTTGTAAAATGGGAGTTTAGAAATTTCAGTTTATGAGCCAATCAATCCAACTGGGAAAGACTATATGTAGTCAGATACTCTGAGAATGGGAGAAAGTCCAAGAAGAAGAGGATGATGAAGGGGCTGCCTAGCTTGGGAAAGCTTGATTGGAGGGAGCTAACGACCCCTCTCCCCCCAGCAGCAGTCGGTCTAGGGAAGCTGACAAGTGAAAAGGATAACTAAAATGTGATTTGTAATTAATATTAAGATTTACAACATTAAGATAATAGTACCATCAATAATTAATTATAACAATATTGTTCACATTAATAATAATGCATAATTATTTGGCATAATACAATTCTATATTTATATAATTAGTATTCGTTATTAAAATTATTAATTATAATATAACATTAAGGAAAGATTTGTAACATTCTCAAAATCTACTAGTTCAGAATTCTATTTTGCTTCCAGGTAAATCTGGTTTCTTTCCTTCTAAACAATACACAAACCAAGTGTCTAATCTAATCTAATAATGAAAGGATGATGAAACTACACTGAGAAACAACAATGAATGTTTAGATGTAGAAATGTCATCCCTATTTGTTCTCCTCAGTAAACTGAAGACGTAATTTTAAAGAAGACTCCTCAGATCATGTTTTGGATGTGTGCTCATTTCACTTAGAGGCTGAGGACAATAAAGATGTCATCTCCCCCCATTTAAGATCACTGAAATCTACCCAAGGATTCCTTGTGGGTGGCAGGGGGATTCTGGGTGAAGGGACCCCTGTTGTAGAGGGGTTGTAGATTTAGAGCTGAAAGGGCCATCTGGTCCAATCCTCTCATTCTACAAATGAGAAAGCTGAGGTCCAGGGAGGGGGAGTCACCTCCCTGAAATCACACAGGATTAAGGAGCAGAGGGGAGTTCAAGCCCAAGTCCTCTGTCTGAATTCAGGGCTCTCTCCACGACACTGTGCCCCCTCCAATCCACTCCTCCTTCTCCTCCTCCTAGATGAAGAGACTGAGGCCCAAAGTCAAGGATGATAGAAGTGGGGCCGGAGCCCAGGCCTCCCACTGCTTCCCATCGCCCCCCTCACAGGAAGGGTTAGGGTCCAGTTCTCAGCCACTCGGGGCTGAGCTGGCTTTGGCTGGGGGCAGGGAAGGTGACTGGCCTTTGAGTCCCGATGAACTCTGGTCCGGTTCTGCCGCAGTTATATTTAGAAGGGAGCCAGCCTGCCCGCCTGCTCATCCGCCCACCCACTCCTTGGAGATCGAATTCCACGCAGCTGCCACTTGAATCCAAATCTATTTAGGAGGGGCCAAGGCCACAAGCAACCGGCGGTGGGGCCCTTCCCTGGGGGGCTTCCAGAGCTCCCTTCAATATCAACAGAGGGCAAGGGAGAATGGGTAGCGCTCTGGACTTGTGCTCAGGAAGTCCTGGATTCAAATTCTATTAGCTTTGTGATCCTGGGGCAAATCACTCTTTCAAATCTGTGCCTCTCAAATGTGCTCGTCAATAATATGGAATTAACAACACTCTCACAGGAGCAGAATGAGGTCTATGAGAGAGAAGTTACCCG